AAATAAATAAATAAATAATAAATAAATAAATAAATAAATAAATAAATAAATAAATAAATAAATAAATAAATAAATAAATAAATAAATAAATAAATAATAGATCATTCTGAATAGTGTACTAGTTTGTAAGGGTCTCATATGAGTCTGGTGTTTGGTGTTGTGGTTAAGGCACCCGAGTAGAAAACAAGAGACTGAGTTCTAGTCTCACCTTAGGCATAAAGCCAACTAGGTGATCTTGAGCCAGTTATGCCATCTTAGCCCTGTGAAGAAGGCAATAACAAACTGCTGTCTTCTTGCCAAGAAAAGTGTAAGACAGTGTTGAGCGTCAGCGTTTAGCGACTAATCTAGACAACAGATTTCCTGACATTGTGCCAGCAACTGTATCTTGTATCTTCAGAGGCAATGTGATCTATTTGCTGTCAAAATGCCAGCCATGGTTTCCAATGAAACGTCAGAAAATTTGTTGCCTGATCACTAAAACCTGGAGCTCAACACTGCCCAACTGATACAACACTGCATGAAAGCATACACCAATAAAAAACTTGAATTAACTTGAAGGGAGGGAGGGAGACAGAGACAGAGACAGAGACAGCGACAGAGAGAGACAGACAGAGAGAGAGAAAGAAAGAAAGAAGATAATAATATGCACCAGGATAGCATCCAGGATGAGAATATTGCTCATGCGCTTTGCTTTTCTTTGTTTGCAGGGGCAATTGGATAGGAGAAGCACCTTACAAAATGGGGAAACCTTGTTCAGCCTGCCCACCTAGTTATGGAGGCACCTGCAGCAACAACATGTGTTATTTGGGATTCAAATCCAACAGAATCGGTTGGTTCTGAACATAGCATATGCACTTTGACAACATATTTCACTATGTTGAAATTCTGGAAGGAATACTCTCTGAAGGAGATGACAGAAGATTGGGCTAAATATAAAACTGATGTCTAATTTTAATTTAAAAATTATTTACTTATAAATGCACCTTCATTCTTATAAATTATCTAGCCATCCACCCTTCTCCAATCTTCCATACCATAATACAGCTCCAAATATATTTTGACATCCATACACATGATCAAGAGCCAGCATTTCTCATAATTTTAAGTAGGGAATAAATTCTTAGATTTTGTTTATTCTACATTCTTAATCTGATTTCTTTATTTGTTGTAGGATTATACCATTGTAAATAACAAAGGGAAGCCAATTTGACAGGCATCAAATAGCATTTAAACTAACAAATAAGTGCATCTAGGCATTCCCTGGAGGCATTTAAAGAATCAACAGGAAAAGAATTTCTGATTTACAATTGAGACATGTGTAGTGCATATGCTGTTGGACTGAGGAGATAACACTCAACCATGGAACACATTATTTTGCATTGTAACCTTTCTTACAGGGATATGCCAATTATATTAAAATGAGTGGAACTCTCCTTCTTTATCACTTTGCGCTCCCAGAGGAAAGGTGTGATATAAAGGTAACAATAAATAACACCACATTTTAGCCAGTAAATGTAATATTGATGCAAGGTTTGAATATTTTAAAATTAATCATGTACTATTTCTTCCCCATCAAGGTGTTTTTGCTTTTGTCTGAATCATGGAATCAAGTTATAATATTTGATTAATGTTCATTCTTATTATAGTCATTTTTATTCTTCTTTTAATAATAATTGAACACACTAATTATTTTTGTTCCTCCATTACTCACAATTACTCTAATATTTTTAGAGTAATTTTATTTTTAAATTTTTTAAAAGAAAATGTATTTCAATTGCCATTTCATTCTCTTGCAATAATGTTTCACTTGGATCTGATGACAAAAGTCCACTTTTGATTTGCACATAGCAAATGTTTTGCCAAAATATGTCTCCTAGATTAAATAAGAACATCATCCTGATTATTTTATATATATGCTGGACATATATAAAGAACATAGTTCTCAGTAAAATCATTAATCTTTTGGGTGAGTTGTTTAATGGGTTACATTAAAACAGTGCATTAACCATATATTGTGTTTGTCTCATTCATATAACATTTATTTTGTCCTATTTGATTAAGCACTAGAAACTTGTGCACCAATAAGTTATAATTTCATGATACTTCCTTATCTAAAAAGAGAAACGGAATGACCAAGGGTGGGCAATGTGGAATAGAGAGTATCACTACTAGATGGATTCACAGTTGGCTGACCAACCGCACTCAGTATGTAGTCTCAAAGGAATTATATTTACATGGAGGGAAGCATGCTGTGGTTTTCCCTTAGGACCCAGTGCTTTTCAATTTCTTCATAAATGATCTAGATGAGGAGAGAGAAGAAGAACATCAAATTTGCAGATAACACAAAGCTATGGTGAATTTCTAACATTTTGGAAGATAGATTCAAGATTCAGAAGGATCCTGGCAGATGGAACATTAGGTCTATCTAAAAAGATGCAGTTCAGTGGTGAAAAAAAATAAAGTCCTGTATTTAGGCAGTTAACAACAGTTTTGCTTAGCAACATAAATTTTGGGCTCAATTGTGGTTGTAAGTCAAGGACTACCTGTATACATACATTCAGCAGAAGTTCCACTATCCCATAAAAAAAATAAAAGATCCCAACATCCCTGCTAAGATCAAAGCTAATATAGGCAGGGCAGTTCTACTTGCAGCTGCTTTGACTGTTAAAAATAATTTCAGAATTTTATGTGATTGTTTTTTTTTCTTCCCCCCCCCCCAACATTTAAAGTTTAAATTGGTTATGTTGCTCATATATGCACTGCCTGTGGTGTGAAACCACACTGACAGCATGGTTGAAATGCCACTCATACATTTTAGAAAAACTCACTGAAAATGGGCCAGAGCAACTAATACAAAGGTAGCACCAGCCCTCCCTCATGCGTAAGTACAATCAGACACACATACACGCCCTGATTTATTTACACACTACACAGAGCCTGGCACTAATTCATTCACCATTGTCTGTTCTTTACCTATAAACAAATGCAGGTCTGGCCACAGAAGTGGGCTGCTTATCCCCAGCGACAGCATGGGGATCTATCTGCATTTGTCTGCACACAAAGCCATTGTTCTTCGTGTTTGTTTGGGGAGGGCAATAAAATGTCCCATGTCTCAGCAGCTGTAAAACTGACCTAATTCACACCTCCTCGTGGGAGTTCCCTCTGTTTCCCTCTTCTGAGCTGCTTCTCTGTGCCTCTTTGTCAGGGAGAATCCAGAGGACAGCAATTTTTCCTCGTAGGGAATCACCTCGGGCCTGAAACCAGGTGTCAGTGGAAATCCCAAAAGTGTGCTATAAAGTCATGTTTGAGTTTCAAGCTTGGGAGCAGTCACTATAGCTACCGTGGCAGACGGCACCTTGCAAGTTGGTTTCCATACTAGCTTGGTTACTATTTAACATCTCCACCCACATTAGGCCTGATTAAGCGAATCAATAAGATAACAGGCGAGGCAGGTTTCCTCACCCTTCCTCCCTCCCTCCCTCGCCCAGCTTCTTTTCTTGTTATTTTACACTTTCCCATTTTCTTCAGAATTATACTGATGAGAAATGGTCAATGTAAGCACACAGCTAAGTGCTAAGATGGAGGCCCCTCCGTATGGTGAGTACACAGGCTCCTGTCTGCCTATCTTTTCTTGTTTTTGAGGAGAGACGCTCAGAGGTTGAGCAAAGCTGTGTACACTCGGGGCCGACAAATCCTGCTGTTTGTTGTTGATCTATGGAGACCTTATGCGCTAGGCCAACATGCATTTCCTGCTATCTGTGGTCTCAGATTCCCTGTAGTTGGCTTTCTCTTAGTCTGTTGGAGAAGCAGCACTACTGCCCTTGACTTGAAAAAGCGAACAAGCATTCCTTGAACTGAGTTTATTTTGATTTTGAAGTGAGAATGAATTTGCCAATTTTATTTTTTAAAGTTTAATGTAAAACCAGCAGGAAAGGAGGTTAGGAACTAAGCTCAGCTAACCTTAGATCTGAGACAGGGACAAAAGCAAACTTTTCAAATGCAGTATTGAAATTTGTACGTTGCTGTTGTGTGTGTGTCTGTGTGTCAGAGAAAGAGAAAGACAGAAAGAGAGACCATGCCAACCTTTGCAAAAACTTTGCAAAGAGATGTAAAAAAAGGAAGGCAGATTTTTCTCAATGAGACTGATTTCTGAATAGATATATATGGAAGGACTGCATTGTGGTGTTCAAATGGCATAAAGTCACGCTTATATTTCCAGTTGTGAGTTCTGAGGTGGGCTGAATGCTTAATCCATATTTATACACATAATGCATTTGTTGTCGCTAAAGATGAACAATAATGACTTTTCTGTCTAAGCTATGTACCCATGCACTAACAGAGCCCTTTCCAGTCCTGTTTTGCTCATTGATTTCTTGTGAATTAAACATGTGCAGAAAAGATTCTCCCAGTACATGTTGTGTTGCCCATTGTCCTTTGTTGACAAAAGTGGCAACTTAAGACCACCTCTTTAATCAACAAAACTAAAAAAAACCCACAAGTTATAACCTACTGGAATAAGGAGTTTTATTATGTTATTTATAATACTTGCATATTACATATTTTATATTAATAAATTATATTAGCAGCTGGATATAGGCAACCAATCACTACGAATCACAATGTGCTAAACCCAAATTAAACTAATTATTAAAATAATAGTATGCTTTGCTTGTTGTATGAACCTATATTAAGTTGGTCACTGGGGAAAAGAAATGTTTAGAAGTGAATCTCAGAAGCTAGTGAGATTTCCGCTGCCCACTTGGACTCTATCCTTGATCTGGTTCACTTAACACTTCACAACAGATAGTGGTCATCAGGATTTTTATAATCCTTCATAGTACATACCAATTTCTATTTATGTAAAGCATTCTAGTCATCTCAAAGCAACATAGATAGATAGATAGATAGATAGATAGATAGATAGATAGATAGATAGATAGATAGATAGATAGATATAGATAGTGCATGTATGTATGTATGTATGTATGTATGTATGTATGTATGTATGTATTTAGTGTCTATTTAGAGCTAAATAGCTTGAAATAGATCTATACTAGTCTCCCTTTATTTATTTATCAGCACAAATACAACATGTGTGTGTGTGTGTGTGTGTGTGTGTGTGCTGATAAATAAATAGCTTCCTCCCATAATTGGGGCTTACCAGGGGTTGTGACTATATATATATATATTATAAATAATATAATATAAATATAATATAATATATATAATATAAAGGTGGGATGAAGCTGGCTCTGATGGTGAAAGAGAACTTCATAATTCCATAGCCAAAGGAAGAGTTGCCCTGCTGTAG